CTGCCCTCCTAAAACTCTGATGATCCGTTCATCCATTCCTACTGAACAGAATAGACAATAAACCATGGAACTGAACGACTACCATATTTATATATCAGTAAATCAAATCTTTAAAGAAAATGGTGCCTAGGTGCATAAAAGCATGGCATTGCTATAGCATCATGTCCTAAAAACATATGTGAGCCTGCAGCACAAAAGCAGTGTTAAGTCGCTGGGGGATATTTGTAGCAATAGCCAACAATACATTGTATGGGTCACAATTATACATTTCTCTTTTATGCCAAAAAATCATTAGGATATTAAGTAAAGATCATGTTCCATGAAGATATTTAGTAAATCTCCTACCGTAAATATATCAAAACTTAATGTTTGATTAGTAATATGCATGGCTAAGAACTTCATTTGAACAACTTTAAAGATGATTTTCTCAATATTTAGATTTTGTTGCACCCTCAGATTCCAGATTTTCTAATATTGTGCTATCCAAACAAACCATACATCAATGGAGAGCTTATTTATTCAGCTTTCAGATGATGCATAAATCTCAATTTCACAAAATTGACCCTTATAACTGGTTTTGTGCTCCAGGGTCACATACGGTACTTTTAATTACTTTTGAAAAGCAATCCGCATGAAAGCAAAAACGTTCCCTTGTAGATTTGCCACATTGACCAATGAAAATCTGTGACCAGTTGCATAAACTTAAACTCAAGATTAAGACAGTCTTACATACGAGTTTCACCAACTAGCAGTTAGGCAAATGGTAATCAGCCTTATTTTTGGATTCAACGTAATCTAAGACTAATCATGTAACTGAATTAAATAAAAATTAGTGCTGTCAAACAATTAATCGCATCCAAAATAAAAATGTCTGTTTACATAATATATGCATGTGTGCTGTGTATATTTATTATGTATATATAAATACACACACATACAGTGTATATTTTTAACATGTGTAAATGTATTTACATGTGTATATATTCATTAGTGCTGTCAAACGATTCATCGCGATTAATCGCATACAAAATACAAGTTTTTGTTTGCATAATATATGTTCTGTGTATATGTATGTATATATAAATACTCATACATACAGTATATATTTTAAAAATATTTACATGTATTTAATATCTATATTTTTATTCATATAATTTATATTATAAATAAATATATTTAATATATAAACAACATATTTTTCTGAAATGTATTCGTGCATGTGTGTGTGTTTATATATACATAATAAATATACACAGCACGCACGCATACTATGTAAACAAAAACTTTATTTTGGATGCGATTAATCAATTGACAGCACTAATAAAAATATGACCAGTCTTAAAGAAAAAAAATGAGATGACTAACTTGTAAGACTGGTCTATTGTTGATAAAAACGGAAGGTTTTGCTCAATATGCATCAGCAACTTGAACTCGGGCGAAATCTGCATGTTGAAAATAGTCTCGATGCAAAGTTATGGCTTGGATTCCTATTGAAAGAGCTGAATTTAGCTGCGAAAATAAACCGAACAATGGTAAATTAAAACATGCATAAGTCACTAACTGTACCCTTACAAAATTTCAGCGGCGTACATTGATAAATTATAGAACATCAAGTAAATGAAGTACTCTTTTGAGAAAATATTTTATTACATGACAAGCTGTAAAGCTAATGTTGAAAGAGCGACTTTCTTATAATTGCATATCACATATTACATATTTGGCAAAGACACAATCACAATTTCAATATTTATTTTAAATAGCTTCGGTGTAGTTAGTAGCTTATAGCGTAGCACTTTAACCCTTGTGAAAATTAACCATGGTTTTATTATAGTAAATGTTTAGTAGGCCAAACCATGGTTTTTTGGTGCATTGATTACCATTTGTATAACCACAGGTTTACTACAAAAACCATGGTTAAACTATGGTTAGTGTAGCAAGATCGTGGTTAATTTGTGGTTACCGTGGTTTAAGTATAGTAAGGGAACAGTTTATAGTTTGACTTAACTGACTAAACACATTTTTTTAAAGGGGTCATCGGATGCCCATTTTCCACAAGTTTATATGATTCTTTAGGGTCTTAAAGAAAAGTCTGTAACATAGTTTGATTAACATTTCTTTGTAAAATAGTTTGGTTAAAATTTCTCAATGGTAGTGTAAAAAACACTGTCAAAAACAGCTCTTTTCAGAGCAAGCCGTTTTTGTAGCATTTCCCTTTAAATGTTAATGAGCTCTGCTGACCCCGCCTCTCTCTTCCAGCTGCCCTCAGAGAGACTGTTTACTTTAGCTGCATTCATCCTGAAACTCGCTAATTAGCACATTATTAGGAAAGGTGATTTGCAAAGATTCATTAAAAAACTCACTTCTTCAGTAGATGAGGCTGGATCATGAATGATTCGCGCGAACATAGACGCATTTATGTAGATCGTGGGCGCATTCCCTTCAGAAACAAACGTAACCCACTGTGTCTTCAGCGGCTCAGATGTCGGGAGTAAATGACGACTGCTGTTCATTATTACATCCAACAACAGAACACCTCAATCGCTCAGGACTCATTCTTGTCTACATCTGCTCCGGCGGTGAAACAATGGCGGACTGATGACAGTCACTCAGGGCGGAGCTAAGATAAGAC